TGAATCACAATATTTCCTTGGAAAGGATAACAATTCTTCTGTGCTCTATTAAGGAGGTAGCAAAGGTTGTTGTCCCCATAACCCACCATTTCACTAATTTAGTCATAAAGGTAAAAACATTTACAGTATTGCCAGCTGAGCACTTCTTACTGTCCAATTATCATGGACCACAGCTGCAGGCATGCATGTTCAGGGGAGGAGGGGAAGTTCATCAAAAATGGGTTGGGGTAGATTATGTCGAGAGTAAGTAACACAGCATAAGATAGATCAGTTTACCAGGTTCAAAAGTCCAGAGAGGGAGAATAAGTTCTGAGGACTCAACAAGATCAAAACTTGACTGTGTGAATTGCTAGCTAAGTTTTAATTGAAGCCCTTGATTACCTCTATGGGGAATTTAATAATGCCTATAGACATACCTACCCCTTAATATAAAGACACATTGCAAGACAGAAATGTTATTATTGCAGGCAGATAGTTAAGCTTTGAATACTAAAGCAATTAGGCTGTAAATAAATTTTGCTGCATTCCTCTAACTTCCCTGGACGCCTATGGTTAAAGACACTGAGCATGTCGGTTTGAGACCCGATCACGGCACGACAGGGTGAGCTCCCATTACTTGCCCGAGCTCCTGCCCACCTAGCAGTTAAAAAGTATGCAAATGCAAGTAGATAAATAGGTACCCATCAGTGGGAAAGTTAACTGCGTTCCTGAGCCCCGGTATATAATCATGCTGGTCACATGACTACGGAAGTGTCTTCCTTGGCTAAGATATGGAGTTGAGCACTGCCCCCTACAGTCAGGACACGACTAGACAGGGGAAACCTTTACCTTAATGTTTACCTCTATCTTCTGAAGTCAGAAGGAATGAGAGGGAATCAGCTTGGAAACTTGAGGTAAATATCATATGCATAGTTAAATTTGAACGGTTGGAAGAGAAGCTAAACTTTTTCTTCTTTAAAATATTACAAATAAAATTTTTACAAGAATGTCATAGTGTGCCATGCTTTGAACCAAGAAAAAAATCAGAAAAAAATAAGTTATTAATAACTATAGTGATTAACTTAACAATTGCAGCAAGAAAGGCCGTAATAGGGCAAAACTCACATAACAAATGTCTCGCTTAGCAACATAAAATTTGGGCTCAATTGTGATTGTAAGTTGAGGACTACCTGTACTTTTTCACTTCATTCTTTTCTTGCAGCTAAACAATGAGTAAATGACAACCCAGTTTTTACAATTTGCTTTGACAGCCTAAAAATAACATTATTTCAACCACTAAGGCCAAATACGCTTTATCAAATGAAAAGAGTTCCTCCTCAGTCATCTCAAATGAGAAACTACTGGTAATAATAGAGAAAGCCCTGGAGGCTTGGGTGAATCTTTTACATTCTATTGGATTTCTGACCAGAGAGGAAGTAGCTGCAGCTGGTTCTCCTATCTCTGCTGCATTATCTCAATGAGTATAGTAAGTTTTCTGAAAGGGATTAAAAATAATTGTATAAAGAAATGGAGACCAGGAAAATGGCATTTTTTAGATTTATGGACCATTTAAAATATGAAAGTTCAAAATAATAAATTACAGAATGAATTAGAAACATTGAAGAAAATAATTGCTTAATATCATGAAACCAGAATTAGGGCTATTAAAATTTCTTTCAAATGGGATTATCTTGTTTCTGCATGACTTTACATTAAAAACAACAGGGGTATTTAATAGGAAATGTGTACTGTACTGCATTGCATAATATGAGAGAAATACTAGAGTTACCCTGTCCAAATAAAAACCATTTCTTATTTTGGAATTGAGGGCAAAAATAAGGCCTGTTGCAGAGGATGGAGATCAGATGTTTTCAAGGTTCAAATTGGCAACAGGTGTATGGAAGTTAGAAGAATTACCTACATGTTTTACTAGTGGTAACTATATACACCCAATTAACAAACTTCAACCAGAATCCCCTTGCTGAAGGTCACCAATACTGTTGAAATGATTTAGAGAAAAACAATCATGGAAATATACACTAAATGTTGCTGAGCTTGATCCATTGATTTAAATGATTCTAAATTACATGTGTGTGCATATAAACACGCTACACATTTTTTGCCTATGCCAGATAAATTGCATGCAATCCAACCAACACCTCAAATCCCAAGCTATTTAAACTGAGAAGATATGTTTGGATTGTTACCTCACAGCAAGTAGATTAAAAATTACAATACCTCTTCCCAATAGTCCAAATACCATCTTCAGGGAATAGATGGATTGCATGACACAGCTTTTCAAATAACAGCACTGCTATTAAGGGATCTTAACCAGGCAACAGGGGTGATATTTCATAATAATTTTATAACGTAGACATGTTTAGACGAGCTGTATATGCATTATCCATTTTCATTATGAAGGTTTAAAAAAGCAAAGTTGCTTTTCCTTCTTTTAAACCATATGCATTTAAAAAATTTAACTCAAATAGGCATCTGTAATAATAAAAAAATAATTATAACAGCAGACAATAACAAAATTAAGTATTGAGTAGGAGATAGGATATCTGTATCAAAATACAAAAATGTGTTAAATTTTTTAATAATTAGGCTTTAATTATTTTGACCCTTTGTGTTGGGTCAAAAATACTATGTATCAAATGAACAACTATTCCCATGTTTTCTTTGGATGGCTAGATTTGATAAAACCCTTAATTTTCGTATGGTATAGTAGTGCCCTGATAAAGTGATGCCACTTATTTTAAAAATGTATATAACTGCCCATTTCATTGCTGCAACCCTGGGTGGCTTAGAGTTAAAAACAAAAAAGCAATATAAAGACAAGCCCCCAAAAACCAGAAAAAAATCATTAAAAACATTAAAAACTATTAAGTCATAAAAAGAGCTATGCTCAGAGACTTAAAATAGAAACAAAAATCAGCTTTTGTTTCACTGAAAAGCTTCCCCTTTGTAATGTTATTTATTCATTGGTACAACTGTCAAAAACTAAATTCCATCCTTAACTTTTTGCACTGTTTTAAAAAAATAATCAAATTCACTTTTATCACATAACTTTTACAAAGTTGTATACAGGCATCCTTCAGATTACTGTTCAGGTTAAATGTTCATAGAATGAACACTCACAGTAAGATGACTCCCTGTAATTTATATTCTACAAAATATCTGCAGGCAAGTATTTATTTCAAACTGTTCCCTCTGATGGTCACAAGATCTCTTTGGACTATTGAGCCAGCTTTTTCTGCACATCTCTTCAAATCCCCCTTTGGCATCTGCTAGAATGAAAATTGGGAGATGGTCCTGTATGTAAGCCTTTGCTTAAGTGACAGCACTAATGCACAGTTGTCATTTCATTCCTGAATCAACCTATTTTATGGGTTTACAACAATATAAGACTGGTCTTCAGAAAGTCAATTACAAAAATACCAAGTTGCAACTAACAATTCAATTATTAGATTTTTAGCTGAAGAAGTTATGATTTATGTGTTATATTTTATTCCCTTATCTAACCTAGCCATCACAAGACCACAAAAGGCATAAATATTTGAAGGAAGATGTAGCCTTTACCCACCTTCACCCCCCACTTGACCCAAGAAACAAATTGTGTGTATGTGTGCGCCTCTCTCTCTTTCACACGCATGCACGCACACACACAAAAATATCTACACTGAGTAAAGCAGCCTACTGAATAAGCCACTTTTTAAAAGGAACTAGTTGATTTCGGCTGCAAATAGCCTTCTGTTTGCTCTCATCCATATAATTTGTTTCCCGTCCATAAAACTGCCAGCTTACTTACCAATCTCTGCCTTTAATACCTAAGCTGTGCATGGAAAATTGGTCTTATTATTTTTACTATCACTTTGTAAGCACAGCAATTTCTTAAGTAGAGACAGAGGCTATGCTTTGTTTAAGAGCGCAAACTTAACACCTAACAGTTAATACCTGAAAGCAGAAAAAGATACAGCAGATGCAGATATCGCAGGTAAGCACTACATTTGCCCTAATGCTTTGTATACCAGCTTACCTTTGTCTTCTTTCCTGGACAGATGGGCACAGTTCTTAAAAATGAGACTGTAATCAAGTTACTCCTTTGTTCAGCTCTCAGAACCAGTTTAAGGTAAGGGCTCCTGCTTTGCTTTGTAGAATGTTAGTTTCCTACTTATTTTAATTAATCGGGTGGGTCAGAACCACTCATAAAGGGGAACCACATATGACCCCCTAAATGTTGTTAAACTGTAACCGTCCATTTAATTATGATTACAAATATAAGAAAACTCTATTGATTTCCTTTTTTTTTTTTTTTGCGGCTGTACTTCTCTGAGCACAATTGTCATTTCAAACCTTCTTCAATGAATAAAACACAGACAAATAATTTGCACAAACTTGCATACGTTATAGACTTTTGTTCCTTTTCAACCAGGGGGTATCTAAACAGGTTTTTATATGAAGAATGTTTGACATCCCTACAATAATATACCTCCCTCTGGTGGCTGTTTGGGATATGGTGCAAATCAGCTGTTTAGCCAAAACAATAATGGAATATTGCATTGGACTCTGGAACCAAGTTGAAAAGTCTATCAACCCCTTTCCCTAAAATCACCTCTAATCATTACTGATTTCATTTTATAACAACATGGTTAAAGTGAAGAAAACAGAAAACTGGTTATTCAGACTTGAGTTTTTATTTTTATTTTTATTTGCAATAGTTTCCACGCCAAGATTAGCAATAAGGACATCATGCTAATATAAACGAAAATAATTCTGAAAAGGCAATTTTTAAAAATAAGTTTCCTTTCATTCTGCAAAAAGGGTATTATTTTTTTCTCATGAAATTCCTTTTAAAAAATCATATATTACATTACTAAAAATCAGTATGTGTAATTTGGAAAAATTTGTACATGAATTTTGCTTAGAACTGTTGTGACACATACAATTTATAATTAGTAATAGTAACCATGAATTTTACAACTAATATCCTAAAATAATTATCCTTTTTGCATTTATACCAAAATGAAAAATAACCTCTGTAAATGGAATGGTAATGTTATGGTGATATGGAAAACTGGTTTAAAATCAAGATCTGTATCCAATTGATATGCACACGCTACAACCAAGGCAGTCAAAGCCTGTAGTTAATAGTTACATGGGTTAATATGCACTATATTATACACTGGTATACCTACTTTTTTGAGAAAAAAGGAAACATTTTGCATTTAAACACATTCATGTATTACAAAACATAAACCGGTTAAACTCAAACAAGGAAACTGGGCAAATATTTTAGAATCAATGAATCCGTATCATCTCATATTTGTAAATAAAGGTAAATGGAGTCCTTAACATGCTGTCTTTTGTCTACAGATGGGAAGAAGTAGAGAAGCAAAGCTTCAAGGTATATGGGTTAGAGCCATCTGTAAAATGCAAAAAGAAACTCAACAGTTAGAAAAATACTGTAAGTTTTACTCTTTAAAATAGCCTGCTTGATCAAGAAATTGTAGTTTTAAACTAAAGTGATACAAACTGAGATGGCAAATAGCAAACTACTTTAAGCTAATTTTCCATAAACACAGTTTGATAGAAAAATGGCTTTTTTTTTTTTTTTTACTCTAGAGCAGGGGTCCCCAACCACCGGTCCGTGGAACAAGTCCTACCGGGCCGCTGGTTTGCTGGGCGCCGCCATCTTTTTTTGATGAAAAAGTGCTTCCGGTGAGCTTTTCCGGGTAGAAAGCTCATCGGAAGCACTTTTTCATCAAAAAAAGATGGCGGCGCCCAGCTGCCGGTACCGGGCCGCGGCGCCCAGCTGATGCCGGTACCGGGCCACGGCATAAAAAAGGTTGGGGATCACTGCTCTAGAGGACAATTTACCTGCATTTTCTCACAACTACATTTCTGCCACAGAAATATCGCATGATTATTCAAAACACAGTACCTTTTTGCTGAGAAAATGCAGTGTTTTAGTTTGCAAATAAAATCACCAATGCTGTTAAGACAGTTACGTAGATCAGTTTATTTCTAACACTAAGTTACTGAGTCTTCGAAATGGACAATGTCGTAGTTTAAACAGTAGGTCACAATTCCTTAGAAGTCCGTGAGAAAATCAGAAGGATGTCACAATGGTGGGAGAACTTGTGCATCAAAGCTGAATCACTGTCTAGACAAGCTGGCACGCCCAAGCACAAATGAGAGCAAGTGCAGAGGACAATCTTATATCTTACACAGGCAAAGAGGCTCATTGGCAGTACTTGCTCCTGCTCTGCCTGGATAGTCAATAGTTAGCTTTTTCAAGAAAATTGGATTGTTTATTTCTAATTAAAAGGTTGTATTTTATAAATTGCAAGTTTCTAACACTATTTTGTTTGATATGTAAATCAAAATGGAATTAGTAAAAATAAATAGTATACCTTACTTTCTGCTGAACACTAATCCATTCTTTTTAAACTGGGGGTGGGGTCCCCACAAATTAATTTGCCATTTACACCACCAAGTTTAAAAATTATTGGACTATATTATAGAACTGGGAGATTATTCTTTCTCAGTCAAGCTAATCATTTACTACGTAGGAGCAAAATTTGTTGTTGTTTGCCTCTATTTTAGACTTGGATGTAAGTTTACACATCTTTATCATAATTGATAATACTATCTTACAGTAAACAGTTACAATTCTATATATATTTATCTAACATATACTATGCAATTATGTGTGTGTATATTTATTTCTAATGCACTTATGCAATTATTATTAGAATAATTCATAATATTGCTTTATCATAATCGGTAAAACAAATAATATCATCATCATTGCTAAGCAAATTTCTCTAGCTACTGGATATTTAACATGCTTTCTTAACTAGCTTTTAACATATGTTGAGGATTTGTAGCACTGTTTTCCAAATATAAACACCTAGAGAAAACTTCGGACCATAATGGAACAAAGACCCTCTCCCAAGAAGGTCCATCTCGCAGGACCAAAAATGGCTTTCTCCGTGGTGGCTCTCTCCCGCCTGCATCATCATCCCAGCAGAGATAAATTGGTCACCAATTTGATATTCTAAAAAAGGCCCTGAAGACCTGGTTCTGCCAATGGGCCTAGGGAGCAAAAGAGTGATATGGAGCCCATCAAGTGGCAGGTTTGATGGTTGTTGTGGGAAGGGGCGAGTTAGTTACTTCTACATTGTTTTTATACTGGGTTTTATCTTTGTAAGCTGCCAGGAAAATCACTTAAATGATTTGGCCAGCCATATACATTTTTATAAATCATTCAGTCAATCAATCAAATTAAAATACAGTAGGCCCAATGGCATTATGAAGGCTAATTTCTGCAAATTATACTTTCCAGCCAAACATTATCTAATTAATACATCCTCAACAAACATGACGTGAAGAATACTTCACAGTGATACTTACTAGGCACTCTTATCTGGTAGTGATTGAGTACTGTAAGAGCTTCCACTGCATCTGTCTTGCATTCCCATTCCAAGAGACCAGAAAGTGTTTTAGCTGATGCTGGCAAAACAAAGAGTTAAAATGTTTTGCTTTGCTTTATTTTTCTGTCAGAATCATTTGCCTAGGTTTTTAAAAAGATTTTTAACGAATAAGTGAAATTGTTTTCTATCACATTAAAGGCATATTTAATCCAATAATACTCAAAAAAAACTGCCCATGGGAACCCCGTAAGTACATCCAATCATGGCTAATATTCACTGACAGTGTTCTCCTTCAAGTAATATTTACTTACGTTTTGGATCAAATACTTTATATTTGATAAAAGATAGGACTTCATGATCATCACACAACTGTAACAATAAGAAAACAAAAATATGGTTGCAAAACAGCAAGACTCAATGCTAGAGCAATTCACAGATACATCATTATGAAGTACTTCTATAAATATCATAGATCCCCTAGATTGAAACAACAAATATTGATTTATTACAATGTGGCAGGGTAGAAATATAATAAATTAAAATAAATAATTTCAGATAATCCTTGCTTAATGACCATCCAAAGTTACGGCAGCACTGGGTCTGAAGTAGAGGCCTGGCAGCAGCAATAACAGCTGGCTGAGGCTACTGAAGGCATATCTTTCTATTTCAGCTCCTATGCCACCAGCACCAATGCTGCTGTGCAGGGCAGAGATGAAAATAGGTGGGGGAATTCAAAAGGATGTAGTCCCTGAACTTTTAAGTAAGGATTTATGGCAAATTAATTTAAGAATATGTGCCATTATAGATAGACTATCCTTAAAATATGTTATGGAAGAAGAACTGAGACTGATAGGAAAGTAGATTTAAAATTACAGACTACAAAAAGATATGTAAAAAGAATTAGATTTTGTAGCTTGATTATTGTTTAAAACCATGGTCTATTCTTACCTTTACAAAGGTCTCTTCAGTCACACATAGGGGTACATTATAGTAATGCAATACACAAGAAGGTGGCTGGATGATGTTCTTGGATGCTTGGCCAGCACTGGTAAAACGATTGTTCTTGCTCATTGCAAAATCTTTATAACTGCTTGTCCCATCTTCCAGCTCAAATATTTGACTAGGAACAACTGAATGCTGCTTGGATACACTGCAATTAAAAAATAGACAAGAAAACTCCCTTCACATTCAAATCAGAAAACTTTATTTAATTAGCTCGTAAAGTTTAATTATGTTCTAATATAATAAAATAGATTGATTAACCTTCCAATTATTGCAGTAAAATACTCTTTTATCAAATTACAGGGGAAGGTCAATGAAATTATGATTGTAAATACTCTGTTGCTTTGCATGTACACTGACAGCTTCTGCACCCGAAACAAATTCCTTGTATGTCTAATCACATTTGGTCAAATACAGTATTCTATTCCTATTCCAGTCTAGTTCATTATTCTTCTCTATTCTACTCTACTCTATTCTATTCTACTCTACTCTATTTATTTTTCGTATTGTTAATCACCCCTCAGAGATGGGCTGGGCAGTGTACAATACAATCAATAAAATTAACATAAAAATCAGAATAATTTAAGATTAAAAAGTTTTCAAATTATAAAAATAACATAACATTCCAAAAGGTGAAACATTCCAAAACCGGTGTGTGTGTGTGTGTGTGTGTGTGTGTGTGTGTGTGTGTGTGTGTGAAGCTATTGTTAATACAGGGGTGAGTAGGAGTTCTCATGGGACCAGCTAGCCCCACAGTTGTGTGGGCCTCTGTGTCCTCTACAGAAGATCACACAGCCAAATTCTGACCACTGCCTGAACAAGTGGGATGGGGCGATGCGATGTGGTGAAGTTGGTTCCATAGGGAGCCTGGCCCTATGCCTGTAAGTTTTATAAGTGTCCACCAATACCTGGAACTAGACCTGGAAGCGAATTGGCATCCAGTGCAGTTCACAGAGCAAAGATGTGCCCTTTTTATAGCACCCAGTATGGCTTGCACAGCCGCATTCTTCACCAGCTGAAGCTTCTGGATGCTTTTCAAAGATAGCCCTACGTAGGGAGCATTGCAATAGTCCAATGGGGAGATGACCATGGCATGAGTAATGGAACAGAAGGCCTCTCTTCCTGGAAGGGCATAACTGGCACACAATGTGGAGTTGACAAAGGCCCTCCTGGCCACAGCTGCCACTTGCTCATTGAGCAGGAATCATGAGCCCAAGAGAACCCTCAAGGTTGCACCAGGTGGTCCAACCTAATCCAGGACCTAAGATTATAAACTCCTGGATAGAGAGGTCAACCCACAGACACTCTGTCTTACCAGGTTTCAACTGAAATCTGTTGTCCCCTATCCAGACACCCCCCACAGCCCCTAGGCATCATGAAAGGATGTCCACTGCATCACTGTACCTGGGATAAAGACATATAGCTGCATATCATCAGTATAGTGGTGATACCTCATCCAGTTCGAGGTTTCTTGTAGATGTTAAAAAAAGAAGTGGAAGAAGCAATGACCTGTGGCACACCACAAAAGAGGGCAGTGAGCTGGACCTTTCACTCTCTATTAAAATTGATTGGGATCAGCTTTGGAGAAAGGAGGTAAACCAGCACAAAACTGTGCTGTTCACCCCCAATTCCCTAAGTTGTCCCAGAAGGATACCATAGACGATGCTATTTATAGCCACAGAGAGGTCAAGAAGAGGAAGGATGAAGGCACCACCTCCATTACGAGTGCAACCAATGCAGTTTCAGTGTCATATTTGAGCCTGAAACCAGACTGAAAATAATCCATTTCCAGGTAATCCATTCCTCCAGGATTCTCAGTTTGAAAATTAATGAAAAGTCAAATGGCATTTTCTAAATGTACAAAAAGGGATTTTCTCCAAACTAAATTAAATTTTCTAAATCAAGTTGGCTTAACACATTTTATTTTATATTGGTATTGCTATTAAAATAAACATTGTGATGCACACCTACCAAACATTTAGTCTTTTCCCAAATAATTTGACATTATTGAGATGTGTTACTGCTCTCTCAACAGCATATTCATCACCCATTTCCACTAATGCAGTGCCTGGAATAGTCTTCATAAATTTCACCTGTAATATTTAAAATTATATATAAATTCAATTTAAAGAATGATAGGACATTTTTCAATTTCAGCTGGAAGATATATAACAATTGACTTGTTTTCAAATATATTTACTGTCCTTTTAAAAAGTCACACACAAGCTTTTTCAGGCAAACGGCTGCATTTGAACTTTTGGTGGTCACCTGAATGCTATACTAAAAACTGGGTGAGATCAATTAAAACAAAAGCTTCAACTTTAGTGTTAATGCAATTACTCCATTATACTATAATAAAATTACAATTCAGTGAACAGTATTCAGAGGCCATACTTCTGGCTTTGGTGGGCATTTCTGCTTTACAATCACATTGCTAGACATTTAATTTACCTTTTCAATATTTCCATACAAACAGAACAAGTTGAAGACTCTTGAACAATTCATCTTTTGCTGGTGCAAACCACTGACCATGACAACAGATCCTGAGGGGTTTCCTCCATGCATGTAAGATGAGGAGGCCTGTGGAAGTGGATAAGCAACAAGCTCTGGAGTATCCCGAGATGCCATTCTATACCGACTTGGTAAAGGTAACAGAGGACCATGTGATCCTAAAGAACAAAAAATACTCCCTAGTTAATAAGCTTAGAATATTTAGGTATACAATGGAGCAATTAAAAATAACATTATAAAATAACAACAGCAACATGTTTTATTTAGTGATGTTTCATTAAATAATAAAACTCAGTTTTTAATAGTACAGGTAATCCTCAACATGACAATTGAGCCCCAAATCTCTGTTACTAAGCAAAATAGTTTTTAAATGAGTTGTTCCACATTTTTTTTTACCAGTGTTAAACAAACCACTACAGTTGTTAAGTGAATCATGAGGTTAAGTGAATAAAGCTTCCTCCATTGACTCTGCTAGTTGGAAGTCAGCTTGGAAGATTACAAATGGTGATCACATGACCTAGGGACAGTACAACTGTCATAAATACATGCCAGTTGCCACGTGTCCAAATTTTAATCCTGAAATCATGGGGATGCTGCCATGGTTCTAAGTGTGAAAACCAGTCATAAGTCACTTTTTTCAGTGCTATTGTAACTTCAAAAAGTCACTAAACAAATGGCTGTAAGTTAAGGATTATCTGTATACTGGTAGTCTGTGATTTACAATCATTCATTTAGTAATATTCGAAGTTACAACAACACTGAAAAAAGTGACTTAAAACCAGTCCTAATGAATGAGTGGATGAGCTTGGGGAACAAACATGCTGTCTAGGAAACAATCAGACAAGAGAGGCAAGAGCCACTACTAGCTTAATGGTCAGAGAAAGAAACTTAGTAAGGAGCTTCCCTAATGATCAAGCATTTAAAAGTGGATGATAGGAAGTCTGTATCTTCAGATTTGCAAGGTTCTGTTAATGTGGCCTTACAGTAAAATAGAATTAGTCCCTGAAGTCATGTTTCCTATCTGGTTTACCTGGGAGGGCTGTCATCACATTTACAACTGTCCCTGTATCCCTTAGATCAGTGGTCCCCAACCTTTTTTGTGCCACGGCCCGGTACCGGCATCACAAAATGATCCGCGGCCCGGTACCGGCATCAGCATGCATGACAAGGCAAGGCGAGCCGAGCGACCAGCCAGCCAGCCGTCCCCCGCTTCTCCCCGCCACCTTCAACTCCTCCTTTGTACCTTTGTACCTTTGTCGATGGGCTTCGCTTTGGGACGGCTTCGGGACAGTCACTCGGCTCGCCTTGCCTTGAGTGTGAAAGAATCCTCGTACCTTAGTTTCGTTCGAAGCCCCCCCACTTCGATGAAACTAAGGCGCAAGGATTCCTTCAGGACCCAAACGCCGCTTTCCACCGGAAAAGCTCACCCAGAAGCACTTTCTCATCAAACAAGATGGCGGCGCCCAGCAAACCGGTGGCCCGGTAGGAAATGTTCCACGGACCGGTACCGGTCCATGGCCCGGTGGTTGGGGACTCCTGCCTTAGATCATGGAATCACAGTTGGGGTGCTTGGCAAGTGGCATGTATTTACAACAGTTGCAACATCAGGGAATCACATGATCATCATTTGCAACCTTCTCAGCTGACTTCAGACAAGCAAAGTAACTAAAAGTGTTACCGTATGGCAAGATGGGTGGCTAATAAATTTTACAAATAAATAAATAAAATCAAGACAGGAAGCCAAATTTGCTTAACAGCAGTATGACTCAGTTAACAATTGTACTGCTTAGCACTGGAACTACCAATCCATTGTTGGAGGTTGTCAAGGGCTATTTGTAAAGCAAAACTTGCTTGAATCTGTTTAACACTCAACGGTGAGTACTAAATGAGCAATGTTCCACCAAATTAAAAAAAACCCTTACTTTTAAATAATATAAAATAAACCTTATGGCTTTGATTCCCAGAAACTTTTTAATGTAGAGCAATACTACTGAATAATCTTAAGTTCAAGATAGGTTTCTAACTGAATTAGAATTGGCAGTATCTATTCTAATAGAATGGTATCTTTTTTGAGAACCAAATCAGAATTTGACACCGGTTACTAATATATTCTAATTTTCAAGGCTCTCTACAAAGGCTCTATTACAAAGGACTCATCAATCTATCAAAACAGAACCCCATTAGGAAAACATTTTTATTATTATTTAAAGTAATACATTTTCTCCAAATGTTCACAAGAAACAGTTCATCTTGAAAAAATTCTAAGATAGCATTAGAAATAGCACTTAGGCTTATATACCACTTCACAGTGCTTTACAGCCCTCTCTAAGCGGTTTACAGAGTCATCATATTGCCCCCAAAAATCTGGATCTTGAGCTTGGTGAGATTCGAATGCCAAATTGTAGGCAGCCAACAGCCAGCAGAAGAAGCCTGCAGTACTGCATTCTAATCACTGAGCCACCACTGCTCAGATCACAAACCACAAGACTCAAACCTGTAATCACTGTACTTTATCTACTTTTAGCTTTCACAATAATGTTCCATTGTGATAAAATGTGCAACCAAGAATTGTAATGGTGTTTTAAAAAATGAAAGCTAAAAAAACAACATCTATCCTTAAAAACCCTGGTAACTGGCTATAATTTATGGATTAAAAACATAAGCCAGAGAACTGTAACAAACTGAACTGCTTTAACCTAAAAATAAAAATTATCCCTTCTATGTAGCAATGAGAACAATTTCTTTCATGCAGAAGACACAGCTAATGGCAGAAACAGGTGTGTTTTCAATATAAATCCCAGAGATTTATGAATAATTTTTATGAAATTAAATTCATAAAAAAGGAACTTACCATAGCCATCATGTCTAAATGATGAGGGATGTTCTCCCAAAATAGCTTGCCTCTGTCGGCCTTTCCCTCTATCTAAAAAGTAAGAGAGCATTGATTTTTTTAAAATAAAAAACCCTCTCAAAGATATTGGAATTTTGTCAACTAAAACAATGTATTTTCTGATTAAAGTTTAACAGCAACTCAGCTAGATCTGATCACATGTCCATCAGTCAAATATTATATTTCCAACAGTATGGTTAATCAGATATTTTAAAGGTTCTACATTTGGGTATTTTGGTCAGATAGTCATTTAGACTGACTTGTTCTAATACGAAAATATACCAGAATTATTGTTAGGACACCATAAATATTGTTATTAAAATCGCATCCAGAAATATTTGACATTTTAAACCTAAGAAAACCGTACAGGTGTCTTAACACTACAATTACTCTCGTAAAAATCAAGCTGTAAATGCAGTACTTTCGAAGGACAGTACCTGTATCACACTATTAGCTTCAACAGCAACATATTTTCAAAGAGGGCTTCTTTTCAAGAAGTTTCAGCATAATCCAACAACAACCTGTATTACATGGTTTCATAATCAGTTAACAGAGGATCATAATTTTTTTAACATACATCAACAGCTATTAATGGGAAAGTGCTGAGAGAACTATACATCACTACACTATTATTATACAATCTATATTATAATACCAATAAAAATAGAACTTTTAACAATGAGAAGTTTTCAGCAAATTTCATTTTATACAAGAATATAAAGTTAACCAAGGGGTCAACACTACTGGATGAAAGCAGCAACCAGAAAACATCTACTGCAATGGCATTTATCATTAACATTTGCTGATTGTTTTATTACATAATTTGAAATGTCAATATTTTAACTGATTGCTAAACTGTGAGAAATAAGAAACATCCAGCAAAGGTAGTATTTATTTCAAAGGGAAAATATATTTTTGTTTACATTTATCCTATTAAAATCAGCATGGGTTCAAAACTCAGCTTTGATAATAAAAAGTTAAAAGTTTGTTTCCAAGGTCCACAATTTTATTAGGGCAACTTGTTGAAAATGAAAACATTAGATAAAAAACTAGATAAAAGTCCTCAAAACAAAAGTGAGAAAGAATATTATTGTATGTCAACTATAAACTTTTACATGGATATTACTTTCATTTATTTTGGTAAAAGATGAATATAAGTATGAAATAAGGAAAATGCCTGCTAATAATATCCTGTTTAATATTTAACTGATATTGAGATATTGATATGAGAGAGCCAGTGGTTAAGGCATTTGGCCACAAATCATGAGATCATGAGTTCTAGTCCCACCGTAAGATACAAAGCCAGCTGGATAACCTTGGGCCAGTCACTCTCTCAGCCTTAGGTAATGCCAAACCACTTCCAAAAAAACCTTATCCAGAAAATTGCATGAACTAGTTAATTGCATGGCAATTAATTTTTCCCTTATATTAGATGTATTAATTGTTTGGCTTAGATATAATTGCACCCACCACCAATAATATCTTCTTGTATATTTAATTTTTAAAAATAATCTTTCCTCAGAGATGCTGCAATGGATTCTGTATTGAACACTTCTAAGTTTCCTTCCAACTCTACGACTCATAAAACAGCAATAAAAACCACATCTTTCCTATTAAAACATCCACTAAATTTTATGTTCATATTACAGCCATACAAAAAAATCATTTGAAGAATTAAATATAATTTCTGACAACTAAAAAGGAATATTAAAAAAAATTGTTTAAAGAAAAATGAAAATGCTATTACTCCTGATAGTTATGTAGACTAACTAAAAACAATAAAGAGGAAAATGCTACCCATATAGGTATGTTGTCATATTTGTCTGGTACATATTTCTATGTAACTATAAAGTATGCATTGGTACAACTGCTCTATTTCTGTAGTCTTAACAGGTTCTATATGCAATACAAGATTTCAGATAGCACATTTATATTAGGTTCCTGAGTGTAATGCTGTAACACAATACCCTTGATGAAAAAAGGAAAGCCAAATCAGTTCAAATATTCAAAGTTATCTGCTTAATGTAAAAAATAAAAACTTCAAAGTTGTGCTTGATTTCTGGTGATTTCATGCACATGTAGCTTTCTTATTAACATGAAAGTGGTCTCCTCTTGCCACATTCTGAAGGTTTTTTTTGTTCAGATTTGCAGCCCATTCTAAACTGACAGATCCCTATGATAGAACTAACCCAACCAAGCTGTTTAGCTTCAAAGCCTAGACAAGATTAGCCAACTTTGCCAGATAATTATAAGGCTTTTATCTTCAATATTTCTGAAATAGGATCAAGATACCAATGTAACAAAACATACACTAATTAATACAGTCAAAAGCATTGGCTTGGAAGAGGAGAGGCACAGAAAGTTAAACTGTTTCTGAGACACTTTTATCACTCTTCTCCTAAGAAAATATTAAGAAGCTCAGTGAGTACTGCCTCATTGTACTGATGAGTACTGTCCCAAATAAATGATTTGGTTTTCCATACTGAGGAAATTGCCTACTCATTGGCAATTGGTTTATTGCTGACATTATGTTCTCTGATGATTCATTAAAATTGATATAGACAGTAGCTTTTATTACCTGTTAAATTATCAGAATAAAAAGCTATAATTGTCTACAGAAAACATGGTGCAGGTTTTTCCATTACAATTTAAAAGTAATGCTACCGTACATATAGTCTTCAACTTACAACCACAATTGGAACCTAAATTTCATCATTAAGCAATGCACTCATAAAGCAAGATATCATGTGACTGCATCACTTAGCAACTGTAATCCCAGCACTTTATTAACCGAGAAACACAGGTTAAGCAGAGGAAATCCGAGATAAGGAGTGGGATGGGGGTGGCCTGGCACAAGCCACACAAAAGTTGGAGGGGGAGCCTGTAGTGTGGGGCAAAACTGAAGTTGCTCCTAGAAGTTTCAGCAGCATGACACCAAGCTATTGTACCCCGGGAAGCCTTAGGTGCTCCACTTGGCCCAGCAGCACTTATGATAACAGGGGTATTGCAACTTCTCTCACCCACATCTCTCCCCCCCTCCCATCTATTCATTTTGGGCTACACTGGACAGCATCAGCAACGGGGCTGAGACTGAAGCAGAGGCATGGGTTTTTCAAGTCTCAGCCGGCTGCCATCAATTCCAGGTCTCTACTTCAACCCAGAACCACAGCTGCAATTGATAAATGTTGCCTCAAGCCCCACTCCATGGCCAGCCAGCCCAGCACCATTGCTCAAAGTTCCAGTTGCCCCCACAATCCTGTGCTTCACAGGTTCTGCCATGCCCAATTGATCTTCCCCATTTTATTCCTGCTAATGAGGCATGCCCTAACTGTACTGCTAATGAGGCATGCCCTAACTGTACTATATGCAAGGCTGGTGCTGGCAGTTCGAGGCCTTCTTCCTGTAGTCATACACCATATTCTCATGATTTTTTGGAAATCTACCCCAGGTCTCACAAGAATGGATGCATTGTTTGAAGAAAGGCAGGAACCTCATTTTTCCCCATATCACCTGTGATGGGAAGTACCACTGCACAGAACAACCAAGAGAGTATAAATGATGGGGAGACAGGTGGGCGGGGGAGTTGCAGCACAACTACAGTCATAAGTGTGGGTGGGCTGCCAAGCACCCTAATTTTGTTCCCATAACTATGGGAATGCTGCAACAATCATAATTTCAGGCATGGGCATCCATTTTTTTCAGTACCATAATTTTAAACAGTTGTTGAACAAATGGTTATAAATGAGAATTAGCTATGGTAGTATTAATAGTACTTATTACCGTCTGGGAATAGGAACCACCTCAATTAATTAAGGAAAAGCAATTATGTGGGTGTATTTAAACAACAAAGTGCACATATTCAAAGATATCTCAGTGCCACATAAGCAAATCCATTATTGAGAACTGAAATGATGTTCAAAAAATTTAAAAATAAGAAACAGGACTTGCTATTCAGAGAAAAGTAAAATGTCACAATAAACATCAAATTTTTGATACAGCTGTGTTATTTTCCTTCAAGGAAAGATTTCTTATTCCCCACAGTTTTATTTACCAAGATAGGCCACAGTCCCTAAACAGAATCTGAATTGCATGTGTGCTTAGTATTTTAAATAGTTATATTATCTGGCAATTCGAAACAAAGTTTAAATTTTACCATAGCGTTGTGGTTGAATAATCTGCTAACCAATAGCATAGCCCCCTTATTAACTTTTTACAAATACTTAATTCTTCATTCCAAAGCCTACATATTAATAGTACATTTCACAATCAAAGCACTATCTATAAAATGCAACTTTTAGATAATAGTTAAAAGGCAAGCCAAAGCCTAATATTAATAGTACATTTTCACAATCAAAATGATACCTAAAAAAATCCAACCATGTGGTAATTATTAAACAGTCAAATCTTGTTTCATATTTAAAATTTGCTAAATACTCTACCTTGGTAAGTTTCCCAACTTCCTGCCATTAATGCCTAAATTTTCAAAAAGTATACACAGCAAATTATACACGTCATTAGAAATTACAGAGAAGTACAGAGTAAGATTTTTGTACACTTTCATGCAGTTTCTTTTACTGATGCAAACAATATCCCTGTTAAGCTTTGCAGTTTAAAAAAAAAAAGAAATATATTTTGAGTAATGCCATGAAACCTGAGGAACTTGCCTGACAGGTTGCTGCAAAATTTCATTTTTTTAAGTTATGATCCTTTAGACAACATTTACATTGGAAAATCTATCTTACATACAACCCAAATACCACAATGTACAGGAGAGAAACAAGACTTGGAATCTTCCATATTATACTGTTTTGTTCTAGGGATATAAGACTGGAACCATATGCAAGCTGATTATAATGGGTACAGTCTACCATGGTATTCATGACATGAAATCAGAAGTATTGTAAGTATCCTTCTTGACATGCTTGTGGTGATGATGCATGCAGTATGCAGTCAAGGTGAATTGCAAGTCTGAGATTTTTCAGAGGGCCATTTGATGATGCCGATGTGGTGCATGATGAAGTGTAGAGTCAGCCTGCTGGAGTCCTCTATCGTTCTTAATGCCTTGTCCACCATATGGGAAAATTCCTTTCCATGGAGAAGCAGTGTGCAAGTTTGTAGTTTGTAAGGAAAAGTCTGCATCAGTGTCCTCTCCTCCAAAGAGTGAGAGCTGCTTGGAGAAATGCAAATCCTTGTACTGCAAACATGCTTGCATGTATGGGTTCCTTCTTGGCCTAAACAATTCAGTATACCACCAGGGGATACTAACGTTGAAAGTTATTATTTTCCAGGATTACAAAGCTTTAATGAAAGTTCCACCAGCAATATTTGGCTTGAAATGACTACTGAATTAAAGAAACTTTCTGTATATGTATATATATATATATAAATATAGATGTAGATACAATTACCCAAACACTTACCTCGTCTGCCCAGATATGGCTTAGTATAATCCCAACTATCATTGTCATTTCGAATTACATTAAGTCGAGTTGGCTGTTAAGATAGAAGCAAAACAGCTAATTTTAATAATTGCTTTTTCTTCTAGAAAATAGAGAGGCTTAAGAAGATATAAACTTTACCCTTGCATATTCAATTTTCAATGTACAGCATCCTGCATATATATCCGCTCCATTGAGTGCAGCTTTTGCTTTCTGAGCACAAAGAACTGATTCAAACATAAGACATGTTAAGGATCTTTAGTTAGTCTTTAAAATAAAGTGATTACAAGACAAAATATTTCAGAAAAGAACTCTGTAGCTGTGCTAGAAGTCACTCAGAATCCATTTAATTGAGGTACTGACAACAGTAAATCTAGATTTGCTGGTAGATTTCTTGTTGATTGCCAGGGTTAAATAGTCTCAGTTGTTTTCAATACCAAGAATGAAATTACTTTCAGCCTACATTATATTGCTAAAGGAGAAAGTCTGGGGTGGTTTTCTTTTGTTTCTTTATGAACAAATTAAGAGCTATAGTCAGTGCTTTTTCACATTTCAGAATTCATAATTCTGTTTTAAACACGTTTTCTTTATTTAACTTTAATTAGATTTTAAGATTGCAGGGGGAAAATCTAATCAAGCCCTATATTCTTGAAGTCCTCTCTTTCTTATTTTATAGTTGGAGTAATTAGATAAACTTGGAGACAAATTTGAGGAAAGTCATAGTCTTTCTTCTAAGTTTAATTGTATACATTATTTTTTCATAAGCTGCACGGCTATCTACTTACTTTACTTTTACTTTATTGTCATTGCACCTCGTACAACAAAATCAAACACGATCTTCAGTCCACACCATGACCATGACCATGAAAATAAAACACACACACACACATCCTTCACCCTTCACACATTCAACCAGAAACCCCATTGAACCGGAAACCCCCCCAACACCACAGCAACACTATACAGCAGAATTCAAAAGAGCTACTGCCCTGGGATAGAAGCTATTTTTCAGCCTAATTTGTCCTTTATTGTTCTGAACCATCTGCAAGATGGTAACAGTTCAAAAAAAGGGTTCCCAGGATGAGATGGATCTTTGAGAAAGTTTTGAACTTTCTTAAGGCAGCAGGAGCGATAAAGCTGTTCCAAAGAGGGGAGAGGACAACCAATGATCCTCTGGACAATGTCATTAACCCTCTGGAGTGCTTTCCTATCTGCCACTGTGCAATTGGCAAACCATACAGAGGTGCAGTATGTTAAAATGCTCTCTATGGTGCAGCGGTAGAAGGTCACCAGCAGTTTCTCATTCAGTTGTTTTCTGAGAAGCCTCAGGTAGTATAATCTCTGCTGGGCCCTTTTAACCAGGGCTGCAATGTGGGCACCCCAGGTCAGGTCTTCTTTTAGGGTAACACCCAGAAACTTAAAACTGGCCGCTTGTTCCACTCGGTCTCCATTGATAAGCAAAGGCTGGATGTCTAATCTGTTCTTTCTATAATCCACTATAAGCTCCTTGGTCTTATTGGCGTTGAGGACCAAGTTGTTGTCTCCACACCACGAAAGCAACTGGTCCACCTCATCTCGGTAGGCAGACTCATCTCCCCCAGCGTAAGTCCCACCACTGTTGTATCATCCGCAAATTTAGCAGAAGTATTACTAACGTGAGTGGGAATGCAGTAATGCACATAAAGAGTATAAAGGACTCAACACGCAACCCTGTGGTGTACCAGTGTTAAGAATAAGGGCTGAAGAGATATGATTACCTAATCTGACCCTCTGTGAGCAGCCAGACAGGAAATCCATAATCCAAAGGCAGATTGAATTAGAAAGCCCAAGGTCCAGAAGTTTAGACACTAGTCTATGTGGAAGAACTGTGTTAAAACGCAGAACTAAAATCCACAAAAAGCATCCTCACATAGCCCTCCCGCTGTTCTAGGTGAGTCAGAGCAGTGTGAAGAGTGATGGCTATAGCATCCTCTGTAGATCTATTTTTTCTGTATGCAAACTGGTGTTTGTTTATCAAATGTATGCGGAAGACCAGAAATGATGTGCCGGCAGACCAATTTCTCAAAGCACTTCATGATGATAGGAGTGAGTGCCACTGGTCTGTAATTGTTGAGGTTATTGATAGGGAACTTCTTTGGTAGCAGAACAATGGTGGAAGCCTTCAAACAAGATGGACTGGGATAAAGACCAATTGAAGATCCTGGTAAAGACTCCAGCCAACTGATCAGCACAGTCTTTAAGCACTCTGCCAGAGATACCGTCAGGACCGGCAGCCTTTCTAGGGTCCACAGCCCTCAGAATACTCCTTACCTCCTATTCCTCCACAATGAGGTGGGGGCTACAATTGGCTGGTAGTTGTGTTTTATCTGTCTCTGATGTCTCAAAGCGAGCAAAGAAATGATTCGGTTCCTCTGTCAATGAAGCATCCCCCGCAGCAGGGATGACATTGGTCGGTTGATGGTTTGTAATTTGTTGAATCCCTCGCCATGCCTACCTGTTATTGCTATAAAAATTATCCTCAATCTTCCTCTTATAATCAGTCTTGGCCTTCCAAATACCTTTCTTTAGATTAGCTCTGGCAACACTGTATCTTGCCCCATCACCGGACCTAAAGGCCTTGGTCCTGTCATGCAAGAGGCGCTGGACTTCCTTGGTCATCCAGGGTTTCTGATTGGGATAGATCCTAATACATTTATCCACAGTGATAGTATCTGTGCAGTGTTTGATATAGCACAGAACAGTTGCAGTGTGCACCTCTAGGTCAGGGTGGTAAAAGATGTCCCAATTTGTGTTCTCAAAACAATCCTGAAGTTGTTGGGAAGCATCTTCTGGCCAAGATTTCACTGTCTTTATTATAGGCAGAGCCCGTGTCCTAAGAGGGATGTAAGCTGGTGCTAAAAGCAGTGACATATGGTCTGATTGTCCCAAATGTGGTAATTGTATAACCTTATAGCCATGTTTGATGTTGGTATATACTTTGTCCAATATGTTTGCTCCTCTAGTAGCACACTTAACATGCTGATAGAATTTAGGGAGCACTTCTTTTAAATCAGCTTGATTAAAGTCCCCCGCTATGATATGCACAACATCAGGATACTTATTCTGCTGATTACTAACAATGTTATACAAGAATCCCAAAGCTACGGTAGTATTGGCATCAGGTGGGATATAGACTGCACTAATCAAAACCACACTGAATTCCCGTGGAAGATATATGGGTCTACATTTAAGTGTCATATACACCAGATCCATGGAGCAGTGGCTGTCTACAGTCTTTGTATTGATACACCAGCTTTTGTTCACATAAAGGCTTAAACCTCCCCCTTTGATCTTGCCAGAATCTCTACTCCTGTCTTTCTATCTCTACTTAGTCAGGCCTTCAAAGGCCCAGATCCATCTCGATCTCACTGACAATAAATATCAAAATAAAACTGTTCTACAGAGCATTCAAGGAATAATTTATGGCAGTTATTTATATCTACAGAGATTTTTATTCATCCAGGTCATGGATGTCCCAAAGGTGCTTTTCCAAAAGGCAACTATATTTTCTTCTTGTTGTTTTTCTTTGAAAACATTTCACTTTTCATTCAAGAAGCTTCAGTTCAGTTCAGTTCAGTTCAAACACCAAGAAAGTTCAGTTGATTTTTGAAAAAACATCTTTGGGCTGTAATTTACATTGGGGTTGGTACTTGTATTTAAACTACTGCAAGTTATTCTAATTTAGTGGTTGCATAAATATAAATGCAGAACAAACAAACAAATAAGCGTTCTGGAAATTCCTATGCTATAGCATAACAATACACTAATAAAATTGGGTAACAAAACATCTGCAATAGGAGAACCAATCTCAGAAAACACCAAGGACTCCACAATTAAACATTAAGCTACAAATTTATATTGTATTAGAAGAGTAATAAAAGGATATTCAACCATGGCTTGTATTCCATTTCTCTTGAATATGACAATACGTTGTACTTTCCCAACAGGATTGCATACTGTATACAAGACATCCTACAAAACAAAGCAGCTGTTTTATCTTACAAGATTATTCAAAATGTTCAAATACACACACACACACACACACACACACAACTATTAAAAAGCCATTTTGACAAAATACTGTAATGCAATTCAGAAAAGAAAGCTTAAATTCAGTTTCACTACACACGCTTCAAATATTTTGTATGCTACACTAAGTATGCAAAGTTAGTATGTCCACTATTTGTACCATTTATAAAGTAGAACAGAACAAAATGAGGGGGAAATAATTGTTTCTCTTCCAAATTATGCTGAAAAACACTGAACTAATCTATTATGACTTTATCACTATTTATTTATTTTTTTATTTATTTAATATGCTGTCAATCTCACCTACAGCTCTAGGCAGCTTACAATAAATAAAAGCAACAAAACAAAATTTTAAAACATTAAAATAATAAATGCTAACATTAAAATTTAAAAAATAACAAAGGAGCAAGATGCGTATGGAAAGGATATGGGGTCTTATCCCAGTCCATTAATCACCTCCAGTATGATATATCCCATCGGGACCTTGTTTTGGCATGTGTTATGGGAATAGAGATATTACAGGACTGTTCTTAGAAAAGTTACAAGATCTAAGCGGCAATATGTTAAAAATATACACATTTATACTGAATATATTTATACTATCATGAGAACTGAATTCAACTCAAATTAAACAAAACCCTGTTTCCAAAAGTAGACTGTCTTGACCCCCTGGGAAATCTCTCCACAACTATCCTCACTTTACATATTGTGCTGTCCAGACAGTTATAGTTAATGGGATTTGGGATAGTTAGTTCGGAATTGAAAGCTGTCCCCTTAAGGGAATGCATCATGGTAAATGTAGTTAAGGTATCCTGGAAAATGTAGTACATGTCATGTGGTCACATCTGTAACCCTGATTGGTCACTGAATTGACCCTTGGTGGGTCGGGGGAAGTTTCTTCACTCTTGCCTGAACACAGCCTCGTGGTAGCAGCTACCCCCTTTCTCTACGATATGGGATGAAAGAGATAACCATCTTTTTACCCATAAAAACAGATATGCAAAGGATTGGACATTAAGAAGAACCTCGTCATAACTGTGAGTTGATGGGATGCCTGATGAACCAATAAAAGAGGCTTTGTATGGATGCTTTGTGGAGTTTATCTATCTGCCTTTGTACAGTATTTGTACAGGACAGGCAGAACACATATTATAATTGTATCCATTTTACACAAGAAAACTATGGTTCACAATTATTCATTTTAAATAATGCTAAAATGGGATTACATAATGGTTTTCATCCTCATGCTTCCTATATAGAAATGCAGTTAGTTATTGATGTATGGAACTTACATACTTTCATAACAGACAATGAATTCAGTAACGAGAAGGAAGTGTGCAGTCCTCAGTGCATTCTGAGCTCAGTTGTTTGCTTGCAGATATTTCACAACATCAAAGCTTTGATGATATTATCTAGTTGGGTAATGAAATGTCTGCCAGTAAACAACCAGGTTCAAAAAACATCAAAGACTCCACAGTTCTGAGTCACATATGTTCATTTCCATGAAAAGGAAGATAAGACAAAATGAAAAACAGTTTTCCATACTAAACCTGTATTAAATATTTACTTTTAAACCATTTAGCTTTGACTTTTGTAGAAAAAAATGTTACTTACAGAAACTTAAAACTATCTGATTCATTAAGACTACTAAAATTAGAGGACAGAATCTCAAAAGTAACGAACAAAAACAGGAAATGAAATCTGAATATAGAAAAGCATAAGATACTAAGAACTCTAATAAATAATATATTACAAGACACAATTACTTCATCACTATCTCTTTCCCCATAAGCTATGTATTGCTTAAGTGACTTGGAAAAACTGTAACACAGGCAAAAAAAGGATTAATTGCTAATTTTATAGTTGAGCCAAATAATTTTCTATAACCAAAGTAATAGTTCTGCTGCATAAATGAGACCATACTTTCTCAGTTTTACACAACAAAATATATGAAAAGAACACATGCATATATATGAAGATGCCTTCACATTCAATATAAACCAGGAGGAACTATCAAAGATCTTGCCAATGTAAAGGTAGGCAGGGAAGCGCAAGCTTGCCACAAGCAAGCATAGCATAGGGCCATGTTGGCGAACCTGTGCCGCATGTGCCAGAAGTGGCACACAGAGCCATTTTCCCTAGCACACGAGAGGTCGCCCGGAAGAGCCCCACTGTGCATGCACACCACCGCCCGACAGATGATTGTCGGGTATCTGGTGCGCATGTGCAGGGATGGAGGGGGGTGCATGGGAGACTCGCAAGGGGATTGCGCATGCATGTGCAGGGACACACTGCACACGAGGGGATCACGCATGCATGCATGGGATGAGTCACGTGCGCATGCGCAAAGACGCGCGAGGGGGGGAATCATGTGCGCATGCGTAGACATGCAGCACGAGTCATGTGCGCATGTGCAGATGCGTGTCATATGAGGGGTGTTGCGCGCGCATGCACACGGGGCGTGGGAAGAGCCAGCACGCATAGCCTTCTGAGTGCTGGCACATGAGCGTGCGCAAGCAAGAGTGTGGCCAATTATCGGCACAGGAGTCGAAAAAGGTTAGCCACCACTAGTATAGAGGAATATAAAGCACCAAGTATTTGAGATTTATGCTGTAAAACAGACATACCACAGTAATTGGATATAAAGGATTCTGAATTGATAACAGCAGAACTTTATTCCCACCAGATGGGTCATCAGTGTTTCCTGGACGAGTTATTCTTTTGCTTGTAGAGTAATTGAAAAACGCTTGTTGTCCTGCTATGTATACTGGCTCATCTGCTGCAAAAGTAACACACTTTTTGGCACTTTCAATATCCTCAAATTCTACCAAAGCTTGGCGTTTAAATGGCATCATCATCACATAACTACAGGGAAAAAAGCATCAAAACAACTAATTAGTTATCATAATTTAATTTAGCAATTAAACTAAAGCAAAACTTATATAACTTCATATAAAATTCTTACTGCCAAATGCACAAAAAAGGCAATTTCATTTCTTAAGTCAATGACAACTCTGAGTACAACATAAACTATTAAATTTAAATTATACCTTTCAAATAACTTTAACTATAAATAGCCTATTAAAAATTTGATGATGAACAATTTAATATGTTGTTTTTAATTAGCTGCTATGAAACATAGTTATAAAAAACAATATATATAAAACATACATATATAAAATTATTTCACACAGCTTGTCATGGAATATTTTTCACTAATCTGAGAAAATCTGCATATGTCTGGGAACAAGGATCAGTGGACATGAATTAGATTGGTTCAACATTCAGAAGATGAAGAATCTTCCTAAACATATTGTTCCTTATTCGGTTTAGAAAAATAATTCAGTACGTTACAAGTTCCACAGTTTTACATTATATCCAAACATGCCTTGATTTTGTATATTGTTTAGAAATCATTAATCATAGCTTCATCATTCAAATCTATTGACTTGGTCTGTGGATAATGTTATATCATAAACATGATGAACTTCATTTAACAGCTTGAGCTATGAAGTAGATCATTTCAACAAGACATAAAAATTGTCTTAGCCTTTAATATAAATATAGCCACAGAAAAATGCAGTTCCCATTCATAACTTTTTAAAAAAATCATTAAACATACCATATGGTCCCAAATTTTTCAAGAGCTTCCACAAGGTCTGCCTCCACAACTGACTCACAAAGACCACGGACATGGACCACAGGAGAAACGGAAACTTTGTGATGACTGCCTCCAGCATCCTAATAAAAGCATGTTAAGTTTCTTTTTAAATCTTACTATAAGAAATATACTATTGTGAACTATGAAGTTACAAACTACTTTCATGTTTAACCTCATCTATTTATAACCTAAATATAAAATAGTATGTCTAAATTAACTTGTTATAATAGTAAATTTTTCTCAAGCTCTAGCTTGAATGTTGGATACTTTAAGATTTGTCTTTTTCACAAGCAATGGCAATTCTAAATGTCCTTGTGTATATTAAAAAGAAAATAGAGAAGAAAATAGAAAAGAATAGAAGAGAAGGGAAGAAACTATGGTATGAAAACCAATTTTAAACCACAACTTTAGATTCCAACAAACTTTACATTATTATTACTTTTCTAGTTTAACAATTACAATTAATTATAGATTACTTTATTATTTGGAAAGAACAACAAAGTTGTGAAAGACATAGGAAATTAATACATTGTAATTGCTAGAATACAGCCAGAATCTAAACAGATAATAGGAGCCATTCAAAGATAATTCTCTGCATTTCTTATTCAAAGATTATGTTTACAATAGTATCATCCTGGCCAACTTAAAATTATTACTGCCTGGAAGTCTATCACCAAAAATAAAATGGGTGATTTTATTGTAATACATTTTCCACTTTTATGAAACAATGTATTTATAAAATTAAGACGTTATCAGAAGTTTAATCAAAATATTCATATATATTAAATGAAAAAATAAGTTAGCAGATAGCTGTCTTTAGAATAGAACTATTAATGGACCCAACTCTTCTGAAAATAGTTTTCAATACATTTTTATTCTTTAAAATCTAAATGTGAGAGAAATTATATTTGTTTAAAATATGTACATTTCAAGCCAAGAAATAATATTGAATTAGTTTGACATTTTTTCTCTGAAACTAGAAAGGTTAGTTCAGATAATGGACTAAATAAGCCATGGATCGTGTTATTTTATTAGTTACATTTGCTCAACAAAAAAAGTGAATAGAAATAATGCTTAGTGTAGATAAGCTATATTAATTTTAATTATTTTTTAGATAAATAGATAAAGTTTTGGAATTAAAATCATTTGAATTATTACATATTTCATTACTATCGACTAAATTACACAGTGAAACAATTTTACATATGTAAGAAATAAATTTACATCAACATGTTTATGCTTTCAGACACTGCTGCTCTTATTATAAATGCTTGTCTAATTGAGCCCAAAATTTATGTTGCTAAGTGAAACATTTAAGTGAGTTTGCCCTATTTTACAACTTTTCTTGCCAGTTGCTAAGTGAATCACATTTGTTAATTTAGTAATACGGTTGTTAAGTGAACCTGGAGTCCCCACTGACTTTGCTCAGATCACAAAAGGGGAACACATGATCCTGGAACACTGCAACCGTCATAAATATGAACCACTTGCAAAGCATATGAATTTTGATCATGTAACCACAGGGAATGCTACAACGGTCATAAATCTGAAAAACAGTCATAAATCACTTTTTTCAGTGTCATCGAAACTTTGAATTGTCACTGAATGAACAGTTGTAAGTCGAGGATTACCTGAGTACTGTTGTCTGCAGGATGGGCAAAACAGCATGATTTTTGCTTATGTGTGGAATTATGCAGTTACATATACTTGTTGTACCCCTGCAGTTTCTTCACTATAACAATATTGTACATGTCTGAAACTTAGTTGGTTATTGCTTGAATAATATGCAAATACTGTACCCTGCAATTCTATGATTCAAGCTAGTGCATATATCTCAATAAGAGGGCCATTTCTAACAGTGAGGCATTAAATTAATTCCCTATCCTACCCCTCCGTTTCTGGGATGGATCTGGATCATTTTCAAACTAGATATTACTCTTGCTGACTGCCTTGTTGCCAAATTAGGTCCTGTTTTACTTTGTTTTTGAGTAGTTTAGTTGATGGATCAAATTTCCAGCTCCTTTCTGCGGAGTGAAAAATTGTAAAAATGAAAAGTGATAAATTCTGTAGTCTAAACAAGATAATGAGGACCAAATTGTGAGAATTCAAGCTAACTGTAGTTCAAACAGTAACTCATAGATTAAAAAAAACAAACCCGTACATCAGAATGATGAACAGAACAAATCTATTGCAGACCACTGCTTAGATAAAATTTATTGCAAAATATTTTGCAGTTAAAATGCCTAATTTGAAACCTGAAATAGCCAATATCACTTGGACAATTTTAACATGATCCCAATTACTTCAGGTATTTTGTTTCTGGGCTCAGAGCACTTCCAATATTGTACTTTAAAGCCAAAACAGCATGGCTATAATGTAATGCATTTTGAAGTTGAATTGTTCTGCATAGCCACAGTTGTAGCTCATCTGAGCCACTGGCTTGAATGGCTCTGCTGTAAGCAGTATTATCCTAGATTTATTTATAACTATGACGTATATACAAACAAAACAAATATATATACTCTGTACAATACTGCAGGAAAAGATGAAGAACCCCAGACGACTGTAATATACTCTTGTCCTAATCTATTATTCTCCCATCCCACAAGAGCACAGAGTCCCACAACCCTCGGCCAAAGCTTAGTTAGAAGACTGAAAAATACAACTCCAACTAACAAAGGGGAAAAAGGGCTGCAACAATTATGCGCTTCCAATTCCCAACCCTCCTTCCCTTCTCGAGATGAAAGATGATACACGGAGGTCCAGGATTAGTTGTCGGAACAAAGAAAAACCGCAACTTCCATCTCCTTAAAATTTGAAAGCCGGTAGCAAACACATTTATGCATAACGCAAGTTCCCAATTTGTGGGATGCCAAGAGACCGAAAAGGATTTAAATACGCTCGCCTTGTGAATATGCTTAGCCTAAGGATAATTCGGAAAGAAAGCCTCTCTGGAGTCACAAAAATGAAGATGGAACATATATACTTAAAGACAATACACGGCTTATTGGAGGTGAGGGGGGGGAGGTAGGTTGTATTTAAAAAAATGAACAAACTAACAACCAGCCTTTTGCAAATGCTTTAAATCCCTGGCCAGTGTATCTACAGGCTCCTCAACGAACATCAACATCACCCCGCTCTTTCCCCTACTTGGGGCGGAGAGGCCCCCGAGGCGGCACCGGAGTAAACCCGTCCTGGACATCTGCCTCTATCCACCCCCCGCCCAGCCTGTGAGCGACGGGAACAACAACAACAACAAAAAAGAGGGTGCGCCGCGCCCGCTTTCCTTACCCCTCCGGAGAAGCCCCCCGCGCGAGGGGCGGCCTTTTCCCGGCGGCTCTCGCCCTCCTCTGCCCCATACTCGATCTCCCCCTCTTCGGCGGCGGCGCTGGGTTTCAGCCGCTTGGCCTGGCTCTCGTATGCGCCGTCCTCCTCCTCCTCATACTGTTCCCCAGAGGACGGGGAAGACATGGCGGCGGCGGCGTCTTTGGAGAAGGGATGCGTGTGCAGGGCGCACAATTGGCGCGCGGAAGGGGGGAAAAAAAGCGAAAAGATCGGTAAAGTAAGGCCTGCCACAAAGAGAGAGAGAGAGAGAGAGAGAGAGAGAGATGCCCCGGCAGGATGAAAGACAAGACCGCAGCGACACACGCTTACCCACACAAATCGCAGCAACGCGGAGGAGGACCGGCAAAGGCCCCGCCTTAAGATAGGGTCGATTCTTAGATTGCACATCTTGATTGGCTGGAAGGGAAGCTTCTCAGAAGCGCCTCAAAATGCTAGTGGAGATCTGGAACGCTTATCACGCCCAGAATATAAAGACCTCCCCCCCCCCCCCCCCCCACTTTTTTTTCTTTTCTTTTCTCTAAGTTGGTTCTGTTCTGCGTCTCCGACCCGGCTGTCGCGATCGCATTCAAGGGAAGCGCGGTCAGGCGTGCTGATGTTATCGCCCCTCCCCCCCTCTTTTTGAGTGTGTGAATACATATAATGTGGTTTGCCAAATAGGAGAGGCTGGAGCAATACGATTTGTTTTTCAGAAAGGTCACTTGGAAGTCAAGGGTTTTCCTTTTTTAAAAATGCCTTCACCAGGCAGCGTTGGTGTTTTGCTTTTTTTTTTTTTTTAAGTGAGAGGGTCAAGAAAATGTTGCTGGCCAAAATTCGGGAATATCTGTCATGTTGAACATGGTTATATCCAGATAAACCCGAGTACTGTATGTAGGCTTACAATTTCAAATAAGGCCGAAAGGGTAACAAGCTAGGACTAGGTGCACACACAAAAAAAGGCTTCTGGTTCGTCATTGATTTCAGAACAAGCACTCTTAAAAATGGGCAAGCCACAGTTTTCTTGTAGCACTGGTTCTTGTTCTTTTCCTCCCTGCATTATTACCCCTTCAAAATTATTGTAAGTACTGATCCATATGTCCTATTTAATCTCAGTTCATATTATCCTCCGGTTGTCTCCAGCCAAAGGCAAAGGCAACTCTGGTCTTAGTTTAAGAGCAGTGCTTTCCTATTTCTGCTGGCCCAAGCAGTACTCTGTAGTCTGCCTGCTATTCTTCATTTCTTTAAGACAAAGGTTTCTTATTTCAATTGAATATAATGGCAGAACTACTCCAATCACTGATTTCTGCCCTCCATGTCCATTCCATTTTGGGCTACTGGGTTCCTGTTACTGTTTAAACAAGGCTGGTCTTCTCCACAGACCAATGAAACATTGGACCTTTTTCCTTTTAACAGGCTTATCCATGGGATGCTAAAAGGATAGACATTTTTTTAAACCAAGTGAAACTGACAAATATTCTGCCAATATATATCTTCTTTTAGACCAAGTAATAGAAACAAAGTAAATCTGACTCCACGCTCCCCAGTCTGGTCTATCAGAAGATGCTTCAAATGGAAAAATGTCAAATAAGTCAATAGATGGGGACTCCTACAATAGCTCCATCAATAAAATCATATGTCTTCAAAGAAACAACACCCCCCTGCCTACACACAAAGAAACATCACAGGTATTTACTTTCCTATATGAGTGGAAAGTAAGAAACAGAGGATTCCATCAATCAGAGAATCATGGTAACTGTTATCAGGAAACTGCCCAGCATCATTGCCAGAACTGAAGAATTACTGAAATCTGGGTAGCACTTTTCTTAAGCAAGCTTCGTTTCCAGTGGAGTGTTTGTGTGTCAAAATAATCAAGATGGTGAGTACAACTGAATGCAATTAAAGCCATATCCCTTTTTAAGAAGTATTGCACATATCACACAAACATAAATGGAAAGGAGATTCAAATGTGTGGCTGTAGTCTCCATCTTAACTTCTTTCACCACTTCCTTTCCATGGATGCTCCTGATTTCCATTTAACCCTAAGGAAGATAGATTATATAGAACTAAGGAATTCCCCATTAATTTTACACAGATTGGTTACTGATGATTGTTCAATCGTAAATGCTGTTCAATCGGTAATCACATATGACATTTTCAAAAGTTTACATTTTATATTATTATATCATAGTCCTTGACTTATGACTAGTCAATTAGCATCTGAAGTTACAATGGACCCCTACTGTCATGCCCCTGTCAGAGTCTGAATCTGAGGAGGAAGACGAATAGCTGACAGGAAGTGGGAGTGTGGCTTTGTTGGCTGTGGAGGACACTGGGGAAGAGCAAAGTCCGGCTGGGCAGAGCAGGAGAGAGATAGAACAAGGGAGAGGGAGTTTAGAGGAAGACCCAGGCTCATCCCCTCTTCATCCTAGGGAGATGCAGGGAGGAACGGAGCAGAGCAACGTGGGTTGCATGGCTTACGGGGGAGGAAATGGCCCTGATTCCCTTCATTAGCCACACTTGTTTAAAAGTTTAAAAGAACTAAATGCTGACTGCGGCAGCTGCTGGGAGCAAACATTACTTCATCCTGTGTTGTCTTTGCTTATCTGTGTTCCCGGCGTCTTCCCAACCATGTGAGTTTTGCCATATCTGCAAGTCTGGAATTCTTGCTCCTGCCCTGCCAAACTAATTACCTCAGTTTGGCTTGAGTGGATTTATAGTTACAGTTTTTGTTGACCATGTTTTGGACTTGATTCTCTGCAGTCAAAGCCTGTTCCTGGGAGAGTTTTTCTCCAGCCAGAAGGTAACCTGGCCATTAGGGGCAAAGTTGGAGCTAATAAAGGGACTCTTATTGATTATCTGACTGTATTGCCTTTGTGCCACACCCCGGGTCATCACACCTCCCAAAAAAGGTACTTATGACTTGGTACTGAAGTTCCAATGGCCATCTCCACAGTTATATAATCACATTTTGGGTACTCAGCAACCAACCATGATTTACAATAATGTTGCCAAAAATTGGCATTTTCTTTTGGTTTCCGGCAAAAATGCCCCATAGCAAACAATGGGTTCACTTAATCACCATGGCATTCATTTAACAACTTCTGCAAAAAAGCTGGGTTGGTCATGTGAGTGACTTGCATAATTACTGTCATGACTTACAACTGTAGTTGGCAGAGTCAATTATGGGCATAGGTCAAGGACTTCTAGTAATGGGTATTCTGTTGAATCATGACAATCAGTAACAAAAGATTTATGCTGAAATGTCTGTATCCCACTCAAAGAAAGTATAATACAATTAGAATATCTTAATAATAAAAATCCAAATCTTATAAATATCAATTACTGATAGATTAGAATATTTGTAGCTCAGGATTGAACTGTGGAATTCTTGGAGGTTTCTGAGCTTGATTAGTTTCTTGCAGATGTTTCAATATTCAAAGGGAGTGGGGTTTGCTCTCTGTGTATATACTAACTAGTGACTTGTCTTGTCAGTATTGGTGGGACTGTTTGTGGTACCTTGATTGGGCTGTTGTTCCTTGACTGAAGTATTTTTTACTTTTTCATAGTTGGTCTAATATCATTCTTGGTATTAATCTCTACTTATCTGTTGATTGGTGGTGATGAGATTTTTTTTTTTGTTTGTTTCCTTTTTGGCTTTTTGATTATCACTTTGGAATGATATATAGATGTTTATTCACATGTATCAGTTATGGCTGATTTGTCTGAGCGTCAGTCTTCCCAGAATGCCCTAGTGTTTTTTTGGACTTGGCTTGGTCTTAGATGCTTATACTTTCCCGTTGAAATTATGGTTAAATCTGTCCATGTGTTGTGAAATTACAGAGTTTTCATCAAGTCTTCTGACTACTAGTAATTGGAATATACTAATTACAGTAGATTAAAAAAAAATCACTGATGCTGAACAGTCCCCGAATGCATACTGGAACAGTAAATTTTCACAGCAAAGTTGTCACTGAAGGAATTACTCTAATTGGCAGCCCTTTCTCACTTTAGCACCTTTCCTTCATAAAATTGAGAGACCAAGAATAGCTTCTCCAAGGAGGAGCTCCTTAGACATTATGTACTCAAGAAATTCTGCAGGAATCCTGGTGACAAACTCCCATTCAGTTTTATTAGTACAAACCAGCATTTAGAATTCCACCATGACACTTATTGCTAACCTACCAAGGCATGCAAGTATAAGATGTTCAACAACAAATGCCAGTCAACAAGTAGGCTGTTCAACAATCTGAACTAATTTCAGTTTCTAAGTGATTATCAAAAGCAGTCCTATGAAGTACTTGTTGCAAGTCAAATGAGTATAAAACATGAATAGCCAAATCTCCCTAGTTGAACAATTGATGCATCAGTTGAAATTGGGAAAATCGTCCTGCCATGATGTCCACCTGTGAGTCAAATGACCCAAATTATAAGCTTGCTCCTGCAGGGGTAGCACCATTCCTTCAAGTGGTAGTACTAGAGCTAACTTTGGTGTTCAAACAGCAATTGGTTTTAGGTTATTTTGTCCCACATTAGGTTATTTTTAGGTTATTTTGTCCCACATTTTAGGTTATTTTGTCCCACATTAGGACCAAAATATGTAGAATAGTCCAAAATATAAGATTCTACTTCAGATAATTTTTGCTTAAAATTTAATATTTCTACATATGTTTTGGGGTTCTGTTTTGCTGCAACATAGCCTTTAATGACTTAATTATCACTGTATATCCTTGTAGATATTATATTTTTTTTAAAGTTCAATTATAAATCATTACTGAACACAGTGAATAAATACATCTAGTCCCAAAGAGTTTTACTGTGGCAGATTCTTAACTTTCACAGTTCTTAGGGAGGAAAAGAATAAAAGTTTATGCTACATACTTAAATATAAACTTAGGCATCTTTGAGAGTAAAGATTAATTCTGAATTATTAAATAACAGAGATATCTTGTATTTAAGAAGTGTTTCCATTATAACGATATTTTCCTGAATTGCATTATTCAAGTGGTTTGGGGTTTCACAAATGGTTTCACCTCATTACATGCTAGTTTAAAGGAAATGTCCGCACTCAAGCGTAACCACACACTTGCTCAAGCGATGTTTCCTCCAACAACCAGCACAACAAAATCTAAGAATCTGACAAACTTGAATTTTTGCAGTCTCCAAACTATACTGCTGCCCAGAGTTCTCTGGCTTGGGGCAGGTGAGAAATGCTATTAATAAATAAACACTGATAGTCAAGGTGATGATGATAAAAGTGCCCTCTATTTTTGGCAACTACATAAATACAATTTTGCAATTTTCTTGGCACCAAGACAAAAATGATTTGCCAATGCCTTTAGCATGTTATTTATTTCC